TTGTCAAAAAGTTTAACGAAAATATTTCCGTCGAAAACTTTCGCTGAAATTTGAATTCTGCAAAGAATCTTGATGAAATATTTTTTCCGTCAAAAAATTTCTATGGAAATGTGTTTCGTAAAAAATTTTGATGAATATATTTTTTTGTGAAATATTTTGACGAAATTTAGATTCTGTAAAAAAATTTGACAAAAGAATTTTTGCATCAAATTTTTTTACATAAATGGTTTTTGTCACAAATTTTGATGAAAATATTTTTCGTCAAAATTTTTTGCGAAAATTTTTGATAAAAATATTTTCCGTAAAAAATTTTGATGTAATTGTTTTACGTTAAAACTTTTTTTTTAATGTAATTGTGATTTTTTTTTCACATAATGGGTATGAGTCAAGTTTTGGATCAATGAGTTATTATTAAAACAAGTCAAGTCTAAAACTGACCCAAATAAAAGCGAATCAGTATTTAAACCAGTTCATAAAAATAGATATTTATGAATCAGGTCACGGTCAGATCAAGAGCAGGGCAATTGAACCAGTTTTTTTCACACCCCTAATTTCAATTCAGATAAGGACTGAAGACCAAAATAATTTCTAAGAATTCCTAGAAAAGAATGCTTGTACATAGGGTTTTGTTTCAATATTTATTTCCCCTTTACGATGACCACCAAGTTTCTTCGTCAAATTAAATCAACTCTAATCCTAGGATAACCATCCAATAAAAGATCCCAAAGTCAATAGTACTGTATATCCCATAATATACCCTGCCAGTTAGAATCTTTCTTGTTTTGAGGAGGGAGTGTTACATATAGGATGTCTCGCATAAACATTAAGACTGCTATTTATTTATTTATTTTTTATAAACTACGGATATTTTTCACGGGAGGTAACTTTGTTCGGGGTAAGTTCAGAATTAAGATTTTAAATCCATATCAAATATGATACTGGAGAGGATTGAACACGAACACTCCACCTGTTCAGCTTTCATGACCAACTGAACTATCATTATTTGGTCATTAAAACTGCTACTTATAGTTTAGCAATTTAGGCAATCCAAATTTAAAAAAAAAATAAAAAATTAGAGAAACTAATACATCCGGCCTCTTAAATTTTGATAACTAAATTCTACAAGCTTTAGTTGGTCTCAAATGTGATATTTATGTTCAACATCTCTATAAGGGAGGAGATTCTTTCACGTTAAAATATCACATAACATGTTTAAGTCAAAATTTTATAGGTATCCCCTTCTTTCTAAACATTAAATAAGTAGAATCTAATTAACATTTGTCGATAATAATGAAAGATTATAGAAATTTTAATTTAGAGGATGGGTCATGAATAACACCTAGACCAGGTTGCAAGTACGATATCATGTGAAATTTTAAAAACTATAAAAGAATCAAAATTGAAGCCAATTAAAAACTTAGTGGATTTTATTTTGTTGGTAAACTTAGGAGGTATCACCACTCAACCACATGCAATTATCTTGCCCTTGAAATACAGCCAGCTAGTTCCTCTTTAGAACAAATGTTGTATTAAACCTGTGCATCACGCTTCACTAGTGTGCCACCCCAACCAAGGGGATTTTAGTTGATAATTTAAAATGCAAACGGGCCGGAGGATATTTTCAAAAATAGAAACAGTTATATTCTCATTTTACTTATTAAGAAATAAGTGTTCTATTTCCGCTTGCTTCTATTTTTTGTTTTCTTTAATAAAAAAGGACAGAATAACTAAATTGAAGAAAACAACGAAGAAACAATGCTTCTCACTCCACCTATTTTATTTATTTATTTTTTGGTAAGCACTCACTCCACCTATTTGTACATCTTACGTGCTTCCACTTCAACACAATAAAGAAATTAACTACTTTGATGAAAACAAAAAACACACAAGATTTTAACGGAAGAAAAATAGAAATTTTTTCCCAAATGTAAATGAATGTTACTCTTTTGTAAGTCAAAGGAAAATCATTTTTGAAGTTCTATATTTACATACTAAAATGTTGCAATTAGTAAGATACATTTTTTCTATTAATTTTTTTATGAAAATAATCTTTAATATTAAAATTACGATTGACCGCTTTTCAAAATGTGCAAGAGAAAGCGGAAATAAAAACCAACTTGGGAGCTGAGCAGGTGGGGGTGAGAGCATGTATTTGATCCTCCTCAATACTACTTTTGAGAGGAATTTAAAGCCTTAATCCTGGACCAGCCCCGAATCGAACTAGTCGCGAAGCGAAGAATCGATTGAAATATTTAAAAAAGAAAAAGAAAACCAACTTGGGACAAAATGGTCAATACACATTTCAGAAAAATGAAATCTAATATATGCTTTAACTCAATCAAAATAAACGGTCCGGGTCTAATCAATGTGAACTTATCCAGTAGCCAGAGTTGAATTATGAAAATTTTAAGACAACGAAATTTCATGAGATTCAGCTGTTTAATGTGTAAATCCACCAATAACTATTAGATTCCTATTTGGTGTGCCCAATGAGCCGTTGGGTATTTTTGCTGTTTGATTGATTATTATGTTAATGTTCATGGACAAACTGTACAAATATTTTATTGAAAAGATAATGAATTTGATTTCTTGGGGTATGAAATCTCAATCAGTTAAGAAACACATATAATAATAGTAACTTCAGTGTATGTTTCAATGTTTTATTTGTCTTGGCATCTGCGAGGAATTGAAGTATGGGAAACAAAAGCAGGCGGTTTAGCAGTACTTTTCTTGATGTTAAGAATATGAATTAACCCTTAAGATTGAACTGATCTTGACATCTCTCTTCCTTTCTTTCATGTCCATCAAAATGACCACAAAAAGTAAACAAATTCGCTTAAAAATTAGCATTAATTAGAGTATCCGTGAAACTAGTTAACCTTGTACATTCCGACATTAAAAGATTTTGCCAATATTTTCTTACGTCGCATACAGATTATTTCTTTGCAAGATAATATATTTTGTATTTGAAAAGATTATTAGGCTGAGCATAAGCTAATATAATTATTTGAATAACTAAATCTTAATTTATAGCAACCAAAAACCATTCATTCTGTTTGAGATTATATTTACCCAGGTCAGAAAAGATATTTACAGCTATTCCGTTAGGAGTAAGGAAATTAATTTATTCCTTACAAATTACAATTACTTACCTCAATTTTAATTTTTGTTTTCCATTAAGGAAAGTTTAACTAGCCAATATCAAACAGTACCAACAAGAAAGTTTTGAATTCAATTCCCGTTAATATATCGTCCTTTACTAATAGGTTATCTGGAAGTATAAGTGATTATTTAAGAACATTGTGGGTACATATTAATCATCATTAATTCTTATGATTTTAGGGATAAACATAAGAATATAAGGTAATTTTTATGATTATTGGATTTAATGCTTATTTTCTTTGAAGAACAACCGGGGAACTAAGATTTTTTAAAGAGAGTAAAGAATTAAGATGTCAAGGGATTGAATCTTAATTAGCTTAGGAGAATCGATCGATGATATGAAAAAAACATTTAATTAAGGATTTTAATTCATAACATAAAGGGAAGATGAGGAAAAATTGAAATCTTAACTACGTTTCTTGATTGTAAGTAATTCGAATTTTACCTTCTTGATTTGTTATTTAGTTTAATTTTCACACAATTCTCTTGATTAATTGTCCAACTTAAATGTAAATAGTGAATTAGTGATTGAAATCTAATCTTTGCAGAAACTATCTCTTACTCATACACTTTATTACTTGTACAATCGAATCGGTACACTTGCAGGAATTGCAAGCTCCCCCTCCTTTAAATTTGTCTGTATAAAAAAGATTTGGAGTTTTATTGTTTTGATAAAACAACAAATTGAAAGTGGACACAAGTTGTTCCACAATCAAGGCATGGCACATCGTAATTAGTGTGTCTATGAATAAGGAATAGTCATAAAAAAAGAAAAAGAAAATTGAACTAAAGACATTTAGGGTGTTTGGTTTGTTAAAAAATAAATGATGTATACAGCACAAAAAATTATACTTTATTTAATTTTAAAAATAGTGTAAATATTGGATAAAAGGCAATTCAAAATCTAGACAATACAAAATTTTAATTTTTTGTCATCCATTTTTCCAAATTACAGAATTTGGTCTACAAGCACGAGAGAGAGAGAGAGAGAGAGAGAGAGAGAGAGAGAGAGAGAGAGAGAGAGAGAGAGAGAGAGATAGAGAGAGAGAGAGAGAGAGAAGGACCAATAACTCCTACCCTTCATTTTTCTAACTATATTGAAAGGAAAACAATATAAACACAAAGTGTATCATAATAAAATATAATATACTCTATCCAATATTAAATTTATAATACTATCTATTTGTCATCAAACAACTAACAATGCAAAATTAATTTGTAACTCAACCTATATTGTTCTATTTCCATCGTCCCTTTATATATTATATTGTTCTGTCTGTATTTTCCCTTTAATATGTATCAATCTCAAACTAACATTGAGACAGTTATATGTATATGTAATTCTCCATCAACTTCATAGCTATCGCTTAGAAAATGCTTCAATTTATTACGGTCACAAATTGGAAATGAAGCAGTCTTTCATGCAGGAGAGATGTCCCTTTAGTAAAAACCATAAGGTAACCAAATTAGTGGATTTGACATAACGTGGTACCATGGTTTACACTAGAATAGTTGGGGGAATTCGAAAACGAATGGAAATAATAGAGTTTTTTTATAATTAAAAAATAATAATAATAGGAAAGCAAAGAGGAATTCGAATATTGAATAAAGAAGTTGGAGGACCAATGACATACCATATGTGGGTCTTTCTATGTACAAATGTTTACATATGGCACAATCTATATCGTGTGAAGACAACTAAAGTGACTTCCCATCCACAACCCTAAACCAACCTCTCCACTTTCTTATAAATCTTCTTCTAGACTTCTCTCATATGTGCTTGTTTGTCAAGAGTTCTTGTAGCAAATCATTTGTGGTGATCTGAGCCACCATCATCATCCACACAGTAATTAAACAGTACCCTACCATGGAGGATTCTTCATCAGGTGAGGAAATCAAGACTTGTCTCCGTGGTCACTGGAGACCCGCTGAGGATGAAAAGCTCCGGCAACTTGTTCAACAATATGGTGCCCAAAACTGGAACTCAATTGCTGAGAAGCTCCAAGGAAGATCAGGTATGTATATATATATATCAATATATCACATATATAACAATTAACTTGGATTACATATCTTTCCCATTAAAATAAAATCTAGATAGTAGGGGATCTAATTCAAGAGTTTATCTTGAATATATTGCACCTAGAGCTAAGTTGAGTTATATATATCTATATGTATTTAACACATATATTTGTTCCATTATCTATTAATTAATTGAGAGGGAATGCCCTCATAAGGGTGTTATTTGTGACCGAAAGTTCATAGGTTCGTGTATGGAAATTTTTTTATAAAAATATGAGAATAAAGTTACGTACAATCAATTCTCACCTCTATCCTTACAAGTATATCAGGGTTTGCCTTATGCTTTTTAATTTATCTATTAATTAATTGCAAGAAAATTATGTAACCTTAATCATATAATTTTTTTTTTTTAAGGGAAAAGTTGCAGATTAAGGTGGTTCAATCAGCTTGATCCCAGAATTAATAGACAGCCATTTACAGAAGATGAAGAAGAGAGGCTATGTACAGCTCACCGAATTCATGGGAACAAGTGGGCACTAATAGCTAGGCTATTCCCAGGTCGAACTGATAATGCTGTGAAGAATCATTGGCATGTTATAATGGCACGAAAACAAAGAGAGCAATCTAAGCTATGCAGGAAGAGAAGCTTTCAAGATCTTTATATTGATTCTAACACTACTTCCTCGTCTAATAATAGTTTTCCTGAAAAAGGAACAAAACCTCATGAACTATTATTTAGCTCAAGAATTGGGTTAGAGAATACCACATACTTTGACTTCAGGAACCTCTATAATAAAGAAAGGATGATTGCAGCAAACTCTCCACCTAGTCCTTTGGCCCTTTTGAATTTTGGATCCAATATTGCATCGTTTAGGAACAGTCCTCAAGTAGCGGATTCGTCATTTAGGAAAGAAGGGAGAGATTATTTCAATAACTCTTGCTCTAACATTAACCTCTCAGAAAGCTCAAAAACTTCAGATAGATTTCTTTACAGAATTTATCCAAATCCTTCATCCTTCGGCACCTTTTATAGTAGGGTTGTTGTTCCAAGTCATTTTGGATTCCTTGATTCTGAAAAAGATGGAAATGGAAGGATAAAAAGGGACTTGATGAGTTTCTGCGATAACTCATCCAAGTTAGCAAAGTTGAGGGTTTCTTCTACAGAACAAGATCAAGTAGATGAGTCCAACAATATTGAACGGAAAGAAGTTCCTTTCATTGACTTCCTTGGTGTTGATGTCTCTTCATCATGATGATATCAGTGAAGTATTTTTAACCTTCTTATAAAAATAACCATAGCTTAGTTTATTAGTTCTCTACTTCTAGCTAGTTTTCCCTCCTTTACAAAATTTTAGCAATTCTAGTCAATATCTATGCATGAGTACTGAGTGGGGCTCATCATTGTAAGAACAAGATTAAACACTTTTGTCCTTATGAATCATGCTAGTCTCAGTTACCGAGCTAGTTTGAGAAGCACATTTGCTGCATGTGGTGTTCGATGAATATATATATATAGGGAGTACCAAGGTATTGAAAATCTGCAGCTTTTTAATTACTGAAATTTCTTGTTTCTTTGTAATTTCAACTTGGATCGCTAGCATTTAGGAAAAAAGAAGAGTGGCTCTAGATGAAATAAATCTTGGGTGCATCTGTTACACTTAGATTCAGTGCATCCCACCAATAAAAGTATTACACATGAGAGAAGATAAAGAGAATTTGGCAAAAGAGAAAAAATTTTAGTAATATTTTCATTGATGAGATATACTGAATTTAGGTGTAACAGTTGTACCAAAAATTTATTCATGTAGATGCATCTATTTCTTCTGGCATATTAGCTTATACTTACTAATTGCAGGGTTGCGAGTGTAGTTAATTGTAACTAATAAATGAATGCTTTGCTGGCATTATTAATTCTTCCCTGCTCAATAATTCGTGAGATTGATGCATAAGTCCTTGTTCCTTGTGTGTATGGAAGAAATGTAGAGATGAAATCTCACGGTAATTAAATAAATGAAGAGATTGCATCGTACAATAAACATTGATTTTAGATGTTTTAAATTATTTGCGGTCTCTCTTATGAGGTGCCAATGTGCTTTGGTTATTTAGTTAGTTTCTGAGTAATTAATGCTCATCTTTTATTTAAGATGTTGATAAATATTTTTCATATACTATAAAATATTTTAGTTGAAAATTTACAACCAAGTAAGATTTCAGCATATGAAAACATGGTTTGCAAGTGCTTTCTTGTGACTGGTTGCTTCTTAATCATAATCAAGATTTTGATCTTATAGAAAAGAAAAGAAAAGAAATATAAAAAACTAGTATTAGATCCGAATTAACGCTGGATAAATTTCTTAAAAGTCGCTCTTATTTTTAATAAATTAATACATAATATTTTTTAAAAAAAATTAAGAATTATTTTCTTTAATCGGTTCATTAAAAATTCAATTAGTTCAGTTCAACCACCTCAAGTTGAGGAAATAACATCCTTGCGACATGAATAAATAATTATTGATTTTAAATATACCCACATAAATGCCTAAACAACTGCGTCCATAGAAATTTTTTTCTTTCATTCGTCACATTGCAAACAGTATATATCTTTCATGATATTATCCCCCATTGTTTTTTCCTTCAAAATTTTAAGATGGCTCGGTTATTATTTATTCATTTGTTTTTGGTAAGATCACACCTCGTTTTGAATAATTAATTCTGCTTACTTAAGCATTATTTTAGTCCAAGTTGCGAAATATCTTATCAGACACGAATCTAAAAATGGGGTATCCGACCAACCCGAACATGTTACGTAGAGGTAGCAAAGTGAGCGGTCCGCCCCGCCCCGCCCCGCCCCAAATAAGCTAGCACGCCTCGCTTTTGAAATTGGACTGAAAAAGTCTGCCGTCCCATCCCATTTGGTGGGTGGGTGGATTGGCCTGCTAACTCGAGTTTATTTTACACTAACCTGTCTCGGTCCGCTTATGCCCGCCATCAACCCGCCAAATAACTCGCTCCGCCTCGCTTTTGAGATGGGTTGAAAAACTCAGCCGGCTCCAATCCGTTTAGCTTGTGGGGCGAGTTGGCCCGCCACGCCAAGCTCGTTTTACTGGCTCTAATGTCATGTAATTGTATTGAAAATTGCAACCCTAATGTGAGACTAGAAGTAGGTTAGAAGTGGTATGTATATTTCAACATTTTTCATTATTGGGTTAATGTGTCCATTAACCATTATTTGAGTCATAATCATGTATTCCTTGATTATATATGGCATTCTTAATAATCTTAATTGCTTTGCACACGCGTCTACTGTAATATTAGGACGACTCAATTATCTTTCATATAATCGATTTACTTGACCATTGGAACTGAATTTTATTGAATGAATGAACTTGAATGCTGCAGAATACAATTGCATTATTTTTCACTGCCATATTTAGCTATGACATGCTCAACAAACTTACAAACTGAACGGTATAGTAACTCCTTCTATAACTAATAACTGAAATAGTAACAGAAATTGTAGCAGTCATAAGACTTGACTAGTATATTCCTACCAACAAAAAAGAGACTATTGAATTGTAAAGAAGAATTATTAAGAAGGGGGTGTTTCATTCTTTAGAGAAAAATAAATTAAAATATTAAATCATTGTAGTGAGTATATTTTGATTTGAAATATAAAGATTGAATATGTTCAATTTGTCCTTATAATATACTTGCATGCATGCATGTATTAAGGGGCATATTTTTACAATGATGCACACCGTTGGAGGCCCTGGGGGCTGGAGATTCAACGTTGACTCTTGGCCCAATCGAAATTTGCTAAGTAAGTTTATAACTTGTCATATCTTGTATAAGTTACGACAAGTTTTTGGAAGAATGAATGGAAGTAACTACATATCTCTATGTGGGAACTATATTGCAGTTTTCAACTACAATGCAGAGAACCACACTGTAGTTGCTGTGGACAGAAGTGGATACAATAGCTACAAGACGCCGGCGGGTACAAAAGTGTTCAGTTCTGGAAAGGAGAGGACAAAACTACTTCATATGCGCAACTTTCATGGGCACTGCTAGTCAAATATGAAAGTCTCCTTCAATGCAATGTGATATACTATAATAGCCTAATATTATTAATGGTTGAAGTAAGAGAGAATAATTGATGGTGAATTCGCTAGGAAATAGCATTAGTAGATGTTATATATAATTATACAGGAAATATTTTTGGGTTCCTAACAAAAAAATATGGTCCTCACTTTAGTCCCTTACCAAAAAATAGTGTCGAAGTCCCTAAGAAATTCAAAATGGACCAATTTTAGTCCTTTTGAAGAACTAATGTGGGTATTTTTTGAATCTGTGAGGGATCACAATTTTAACTAAATGGGTTAACTTTGAATTTCTTAAGGACCTTGAGAGTAATTTTTTTTTATAAAAAACTAAAATGAGAATCGTATTTTTTTGTCAAAGACCTAAAAAAGATATTTACTCATAATTATAATATAGTAATGGATCGTGTATGGAAGACTTATGTGGAAAATGGATTTATAATATTAATCACATGTCAGAGATCTAGTCAGCGGTGGTGATGAACTGATGGTCCAATAATAACTTTCCCTTAGGCCCACGAAAAAAGGGGGCTTGTGTTTTATAAGGTTAGGAAACCCAATAAAAGCCTGCATAGCCCAACATAGAGAGAGCCTTGTAATTGCATATCCCCAATCAACATTTGGGTTCACCACTCTCAATCCTATAAATATTCCAACTTATTCTGAAGGCACTATCTTTCTTTTTGTAGTCTCTTTTTACCTCCAGTTTCTCAGTAAATTAATACTAAAAAGCATTTGAGGGGGATTCAGGTGCTTCCCACGTGCATTTTCCTTAATACGAGAGACTTAATGGCAAAGACCAAAGACTATGAGTCCGAGTATAATCCATTGGTGACAAATATTTGTCTAGCTTTTTTGCTTCATCTAATTCTATGTTAATATATTAAAACGGGGTATTGCAATAATAATTAAATTTCAAGTAAATGTTTTAATTTGTCTTTAAAAACTTGACAACAAATACGTACGTTAACTTTTAATAATGCAAAAATTCTATCTTGATTTTTTAAAAACTGCAAATATGAATCGTAATTTTTAGACTAACATCCCGTACTTAAATTTTAATTCAAGAACCAAAGTAAATTTTTGACATTCTCAAAACTTAATATATCAGTGGTTAAATTTTTAAAAGACTAATTTGAAAGTTTACCGTAACTTAAAATAATTGAATTGGGAAACTTCGGAGAAGAAGAAAGGACGAAAGCGCGTGGACAAGTCCAACGAGACCCAAAGATTGACTTGGACCCTTTTTATTTATTTATTTGTTTATTATTATATAATTATTTAAAATCATTCATATTTCCTAGTCTTCGCCTCTACGTGAACGACCTGTTAAGTCGGTCTTCGCCGTCCGTTTATGACAAAAACCTATGCCTTTTCTTTTCCCCCAAACACCACCCATTACTACGAATTTGCCATTTTTCAATCTTTTATTTTTGTTATTTCCCATTCAAAGTTTATATTGGAAATTGAGATACACGATTTAAGGATCAAAGATTAAATTAAGGAAAAATTCCCAAGAGCGTATCTTTTACTCGTTGCGATCATTAAATGTGCATTATTTTATTTTAATTATATCGACCATCTATGTGTCCCACTAAAAGTCTCTCGAAATTCTTTTTTTTTTTTTTAAAGTCTCTCTAAATTAAAACTCATCTATTGATAGACAAATTGCATTTTACGTAAACACATCAATAAGCGCGAATGTAGGTAAAGGTATTTATTTGGCAAGACTCCGAAGTCATTACTACTTAACTCGAAATTAAATTAAAGCAAGAAAAAGGTACATATTTGTTTTTAGTAAATAAAGGAAAATAATTTAATGAAGTCATGCTAGACACCTATTGGATTAGGTGCTTTCTTTGTAACACATACTCAAATAAACAAATGTTATCTTCAGACGCAAATGCTATCTTTGACCTTGCATCCTTTCACGCACTTATGTATATTATATATATAAAAAAAAAAAGTAAAACAATGTTCTTTCAAATTGATCATTTCTTAATAAAAAAAATAACGTTCTTTTAATCAAATGATAAGAGTAAACTAAATTTACTATTAAGTTACCCATAAAGGCTTTACAAAAAAATTTAGTTACAAAATATTTTTTATTGAATATTATTATACAAAAAATTGAATTTAATCCCCTGTATTTTCATAGTAAACAACACATATTTAGTTACACAAAAATCATATTGGGAAAGAGCAAGGGTAATTTTGGAGCATAAAAGTCCACACCCACTTTTTTTATTTTTATTTTTTGGTACATAGTCCACATTTAATTTGCTATAAACATTATCTTGCCGATATAAACTTCACCTTTGCAAACCAAATCTTCATTGAGAAAAAAACAAAAACAAAACCAGAGCCATGGACAGAGAACAAGAAGAGATGCAATTTCTTGGGTTCTTTGGGGTCTTCAAAGAATCCTCCAAGATCATATATTCATGGTGGAAAATCTTCAGCCAGATTACCTTGACCTTAATCTCCCCTCTCTCCTTCATCTTCCTCATTCACATAGAGGTCTCCAATGTTCTCTTCAGGAAGATTCTATACAACTCAGTAGAAATGAACGAAACACAGCGTGGCACACCTCAGTACGAGAAGCTCTCTGACATGGTCTCCTCTGAATGGATCACTTTCTGGTTATTCAAGTTCGTTTACTTCTTTTTACTCCTCATCTTTTCCCTCCTCTCTACCTCTGCAGTGGTCTACACCATCGCTTCTATCTACACTGCAAAAGATGTAACCTTCAAGAAGGTCATGAGCGTTGTCCCCAAGGTTTGGAAGAGGCTTATGCTCACTTTTTTATGCACTTTTGCTGCTTTTTTCGCTTACAACGTTATGACTCTGCTGGTTATAATCTTATGGGCACTTACAATTGGGACAAAGAATGGTGGGGTTGCTGTTTTTGTGTTGATAACAATTTTATATGTTATTGGGTTTGTGTACCTCACCTTGGTTTGGCAACTAGCTAGTGTTGTGACCGTGTTGGAAGATTCTTATGGAATTCAAGCTATGATGAAGAGCAAGGAATTGATTAAGGGGAAGATGGTTTTGTCCATACTCATATTTTTGACGCTCAATGTTTCATTTTTTCTGATAAGGTTTTTGTTCAAGGTTGTTGTGGTCAACGCGTGGACATTGGGTTCTGTGGACAGAACATTGTATGGGATTCTGTGTTTCTATCTGTTGGCTAATTTCTTCCTCTTTGGGCTTGTTCTGCAAACTGTGCTCTATTTTGTTTGCAAGTCCTATCATCATGAGAATATTGACAAATCGGCCTTAGCAGATCATCTTCAAGTGTATCTAGGAGAATATGTGCCATTAAAGGCTAAAGATCTTCAGCTGGAGCAATTCCAAGTTTGATATATAGCTTAGATTAAAAAAAAGAAAAAGAAAGAAAAGATATTGTGTCTATATTGATGATATGGTTATATCTGCAATAGTTTCTTGATGCCATAAGAAATTTCGTTGTGTGAAATTCCAGGGGCTTATGTTCAATATTGGTTATATGTTTTGCTGTGAGTATTGTTCACGTTGACTTTGTAAATTTTATCGTAGAATAAGAGGTAGAGGAAAAATAGAAGCGTGTGTTAGTTGTAAGACTCATTCCTTGTTCCTAATTACTACTACCCCTCTTTCTTTTCTATTTTTTGATAGACAGTACTACCCCTCTTTAATATGGACGTTAGAGACAATGAAATTTCATCGGTTGCATAAACGAAGACAAAGGTAAATTTAGAGTTTTCTTAGTCCGATCTGACGGATGAATCAATAAAACAATAAAGCTAGAGTTTTAACGTTAATTGCAATGCCGAATAATGGTAAGGTTATTCAAATTCAAATCATAGAAGCATTTGCGAAAATGAGAATATCAAGTATACCACTATCTTCCACAAAAAGAGTGAGAGAGAAACAAAATTTTGGCTACAAATATATAAAATCATTAATGTAATTTCACCCATCAACTTAAGTTTTTGGATTGATTTGGTTCGTTAAATGATATCAGAGCCTCGGTGTTACGTATTCGATTATCATCGCCCCTCACTTTCTCTTGTGAAATTTCTTAGCACAGGTAGGTGGACCTGTGCATTGTCCACCCTTCAAGTCCAGTAGGCTCTCGTGTGAGGGGGTGTGTTAGAGATATATAAAATCATTAATGTAACCTCATCCACCAGCTTAAGCTTTTGGATTGAATTGATTCATTATATAATGGTGTAGCTGAAAGGATGAACTGGACCATTAAAGCACGAGTCTGAAGTATACTGTCACATGCCAAGCTTAAGGCATTCTGAGATGAAGCCGTCAAGACTGTAGTCAACCTAATCAATCTATCACCCTCAAGCCCTTTGGAAGGAGACATCACAGAAGAAGTTTGGAAGGGTAGCAAGGCAAAGTATGAGCATCTGAAGATATTCAAATGTTGGTCATTTGTGCACATTCTGATGGATGAACGAGCAAAGCTGGAAGCTAAGACCAATGAGTGTGTTTATCTCGACTCACCAAATAACGAGTTTGACTATTGTCTTTGGGACCTCGTCAACAGGAAGGTTGTGAGGAGTCGAGATGTAGTGTTCATGGAGAGTCGGACTATTGAGGACATATAGAAGCCTAAGGCTCGAACTATTGTTCATCATAAAGACCTTCTCTCCCCTATCTGAGTTGAAGCAGGGGGAGAATCCAATGAGCAAAACACTGAGGAGGGCGGACAACAGGAAGAGCCATCAACTGAAGGTGAGACAAAATAAGAACATCCAAAAGTTTGAGATGAAATAGAAGAACTGGGTTCCTAAGAGCAACTATGAACTCGACAATCTGTCCGAGTTAGACGCCCTTCCTTCATATATCCTGCATGCAAGTACACAGTCGTTGCAGAAGAAGGAGAGTCTCAGAGTTATAAAGAGGCAGTGACCAGCGCTGAAAAGGAAGAAACGGAGAAAGCCATGCAAGACGAGATGAAATCCTTGTATGAGAATCACACCTTTGATCTGGTCGAGTTACCAAAGGGCAAACGAGTTTTGAAGAACAAATGGGTATACAAACTCAAGGTGGAAGAGAACAACCCAAAGCAGAGGTATAAAGCCTAGATTATGGTAAAAAGGTGAAAACAGAAAAAATGTATAGACTTTGATCAAGAGATATTCTCACCAGTGTTGAAGATGGCATCAATCTGAACTGTTCTAGTTATAGCGGCCACTCAAGACTTGGAGGTCGGACAACTGGATGTGAAGACAAACTTTCTTCATGAAGACTTGGAAGAAGAAATATACATGGAGCAACCTGAAGTTTTCAAAGTTCTAGGTAAAGACACATGCCATGCCGACTTAAGAAGAGCCTCTACGGTCTAAAGCAAGCACCCCGACGATGGTACAAAAAGTTTGAATCCTTCATGACTCAGCACGACTTTAAAAAGACTTAAGCATATCACTTTGTTTTTATCAAGAGGCATGATGATGACTTTATCATTCTCTTGCTCTACGTAGATGACATGCTAATAGTAGGGAAAGACACGAGAAAGATTAATGCCCTCAAGACAGCCTTGAGCAAGTCTTTCGCTACGAAAGATCTTGGCCCAACAAGACAGATACTCAGGATGAAGAATATCCGGGAACGCTTAAAGAAGCTGTTGTGGCTATCTCATAAGAAGTACATAAAGAAAATTCTGAAGAGGTTCAATATGGACCAATCCAAGACAGTCAGTACTTCTCTTGCTGGACACTTTAAGTTGACTTAGCAGTAGGGTCCAATCAATGATGAAGAAAGAGATGAGATGTCAATGGTCCCATATCAGTCAGCTGTAGGCAGTCTAATGTATGTCATGATATGCACAAGACCCGACCTTGCTCATGCAGTCAGGGTTATAAGCCAGTTTATGTCGAACTCGCGCAAGGAACATTGGATGTCGTTAGATAGATATTCAAATATCTCAAATGCACAGTGAATAAGTGTTTGTGCTTTGGGAGAGAAAAACCCGAATTAGAAGCCTACTCATATGCCAACCTTGGTGGAGATGAAGACTCAAGGAAGTCGACCACAGGTAACTTGACTACCTTTATAATGGGCTATTTCATGGCAATTAAAACTCTAGAAGTATGTTACCCTATCTACTACCAAGGCTGAGTAAATTGCTACAACTAAAGCCTGCAAGGAGCTAGTATAGATGATGAATTTTCTACAAGAGCTCGCCCATAGTTAGAAGAAGTATGTGCTAATGTGTGATAACCAAAGTGTTATACACTTTGCGAAGAACTTAACATTCCATTCACGGTCAAAGCATATACACATGAGGTACCATTGAATCTGAGATGTGATAGAAGAAAAGTTTTTGCAGCTTGACAAAGTCCATATCGACTTGAATTGATCGGACATGATGATCAAGACGGTTCCAACATGGACGTTTGAAGATATTTGTGAAGGTGCCAGGTTGATTACCCTGGCCCAATACCTCAGTTGAGGGGGATCATATCAATGTTGAGTTTCACACTTGATGGGAAGATTGTTAGAATTTTCAAGTGTGATGGAGTCCTACATTAATTTGTAATGGCTAAGTAAAGTGGATATAAGTGAATGGTCCCATAAACTCAATGCCTTAAGGTTTTGGATTGAGATATGGTGTCAGACTAACTTGTTATGGTTGGTGTAGCTTTACCCATTGGTGGTGATCGCTCGCCACGGGCCCCTCTTGGACTCGCCTGACAGTGGTATCAGAGCTGGGTTGAGCTCGAACTAGCTAGTTGTTTGGCTAGAAGGCGGGCTAAGTACTTTAGGCCTGAGTACTCGGTTGAGAAGGAGCATATCAATGTTGGATTTCACACTTGAGAAAAAGATTGTTAGGATGCTCAAGTATAATGAGTCACACATTGGTTGGTAATAGGTTAAGTGAAATTCATATAAGTAAATAGACCTATAAACCTATTGTCTTAAGATTTTGGATCGTGACATGGTATTGGATCCACTTGGTATGATTAGTCTAATTTAGTCTATTGGTGATGGTCCCCTGTTACAATTTATTAAATAGAGTGCTCAATCTGAAAGGAACTTGAATGTAGATTCATAAATAATATATGATTTGTACGGAGATGGATCACTATGTATTAAAATGCTCAAGGCAAAGGACATGAATATGTGCACAATGACAACGAAGACACTATGATTCAAAAAGTGCTTACCTAAGAACGTGTAAGTGTAGAGTCCGAGTGGGAATATGTTGAGGATAAAGTGTTTATCCCTAATATTTGAGCTGTTTGCCTATCCTATCCTAATCTAGTACTAAGTTATTATTAATAGATGACAAGGGAACCATGAATTGAGTGATGAACGTAAATTGATTTGGAAATTTTAGAATTATAACAAAGTATCAATTACTGGCAAGTTGCATGTGTTCGTAAGCTGTATCCAAGTCAGCGTGGCGTGCACAGAAATGGAAAAAGAAAAGGACTTCTCCATACATAGTAGGGAAAATGAAAAGCAACTGAAAGTGGTGTAGATGCTGGAGTTTAGACTGATTAACATTATAATTAAATCCTAGACTGAAACTTCCATGCCTACATCAGAATACCAAAATAAATCGAGGCTTGATTAGACCTTTTAGTTGAACCTTTTTTTTTAAATGATTTTAATTACTTCTTTGAGAGGCGAATCAGAACTTCCGGTATCCCCATGGGTTCGACTCTTTGAACCGCCTATGGAACTAATCCAGAGTTCGGATGCGAGTCTAAGGATTACGGTACTTATGCCCTTCTCCAAATGATGTTGGTGAGATTCAAATCGAGGTCCTCTCCCACCACTCAATCCTCATGCTACCAACTGAGCCACCACACTTGAGTTAAATTACGTAATTGCTACAGAATATATATTATACGAGCATTTTTAAATTAAATTTAAATTTAAAAATTATTAATTAAATTAAAAATTATTTAAAACTAAAAATAAAGGTTTATAAAATAAATCAAAAGAGAATTTAAATTTAACGATAGACTTAAATTTGAATACACTATCTAAATTGTAAATTTGGTTTATAGACTATTTACATCAAAGTTCAAATAATTCTTTAGATTTGTAAGAATTTTTGACAAATGCAACTTTTTTCATGGGTTTTTCTAGCGCCTTTTTTCTATAAGAACATTCATTCGATTTTACAAAATTTGGATACGCAACTTCATCTATTTTTTTAAAAGATAAAAAAAGTATTTGAATTCTCTTTTAATTTAAAAATAAGTTATGGAAAATTAATTTCTCCATAAATATTAAGTTTGTGAATATATTTTCTGTTTTATTAAATAATTAGAAAAATATCACATTATTTTCACTTTATTTCTCATTTTTAAATTCTTATTTAAAAAAGGTGAAAAATATTTTTATATTATTATAATTTCGGTACACATTTTTTAAGAATAAAAAAATAAATAAGATAATAATTTTATAATTGTCGATAAAAAAAATTTAAAAAAGAAACGCTGCCGCAGTTTGCCGTTTTTCTAAAACTTTGATCTTTTCCTTAGGTTTATATAAGTCCAATTGATAGAAAGAAAAAGATATTATATCTATCGTTTTTTATGCGTACTCTATTTTTTTTAATACATCTATTTATTTTTATTTACATAGTTAGGTTACAATATTAACCAACAATTGAAGAAGAGAAATTGTAAAAATGAGTTAAAATTATAATCTAAGGATGTGTTGAAGGAGAAATTTTTTTGTCCTCAAAAATTATGATTCTCAGAAATATGCTTAGAAATTGAGTTTCTCATTAATGTTATCAAAAAGCTATCTGGTAAGTCAAAATATTATCAGGAATGTTGCCTAAAATTTTCTACCTAGATTCTATGCTAGTTTTTATGTTTGGTTAATTGTTATAAAACTAACCTTGTAAGTTTCCTTCTTTGTTTCCATATCCCCTCATTTGTTTTCTGCCCAAAGCTTACTTGTTTGTTTTGTAGTTTCTCCAAACATTGTTTTCTCTTTCTCCATTGTTGCTCCAACACTTAAGAATCCCAAGGATAACATAGTTATCCTGATTCCTAAACTGCATTATCTTTTTGGGTGAGAGAGGAGTTTCGACGAAAGCATCCTTTTAAGACTGTTGGGCAAAAAAATTTCCCGATTAAAGCTGATGGGATAAGTTGTTCCATATGCTATCTCAGGGCTACGTAGACAATCCTGTCACGGTAAAATTTCGAAAGATCGTAACTTTTGACTAGGATATTCTAATCAGGTGATTTTTTTTATTCCACATAATTTTTTAAAATCTACGCAATGACACTTCATTTAACATATTTTATATCCCACAAATTTAGTTAAAATTTGTAACAATAGTTTCACATTCACAAGAGCGTTTAAACTCAGAAGCTCTTGAGTTTTTTTCATAACCAACACCATAAGTGGTAGCACGTGTCATCGATTTCTTGGCTTAATTTTCCCATGGTTAGCCTATGAGGCAATGATTTTTTCATAAACAAGTTCAGTACTTTAGTGCTTTCTGTAAGAAGAAAAGTTGTTGCCTGTGCGCGTTGATGGAGAGGAAGCCACTATCATTTTTTGTTATTGTTGGATAGTTGAAAAATAAGAAAAAAAATAAATAACATCATTTACATAGATAAAACATGTCAATCGATGGCATATGTTGCAGCTCATTATGTTGGTTCGGAAAGAACTCATGAGCTTCTAAATTTAAATGTTGTTGTGATTGTACCATTGTTCCAAATTCGAATTGTGGGAGATAAAATATGTCAAATGAGGTGTCGTTACATAGATCTCAAAAAGTTATGTGAAATAAAAAAAAATCATCTGATTTTGATATCCAAGTAAAAATTATGAACTTTCGAAGTTTTATGATGACAAAATTACTTACGTGATGTTGACATGACATCAATCCCATCGTTAGAATCATTGACGAAATTAGTGTCGTGGGTACCATATTTGACTGGATTAAATCAATTTTAACTGCATTACTCTTTTATGCAGCAATCTTAGAATGGTGCTTTTGACGAGGAGTTTCGTATTCAACCAGAAAACATAAATACATGTCTGAGAGAGAATGACTTAGAGTAACTTTATCCAAAAGTTTAAGTGAAGATATTTTTATCCAAAAGAAAGCAACTTTATCACTTGCCAGCAAAGCTAGAGTTCGAGGCATTAAAATATGAAACTTTATGCAGAAGGAGCACCACCCATATTCACGTTTTTATGGAGTTTGCCAAAGAGGGGACCATTTTTTAAGCATAGCTACAAAAGCAAACACAAACACAGACAAAAAAACGAGCTTTATTCTTCTACAGAACAGAAGCAAGGTGATCTTGTAGGAGCAAGGCAAGAACAAAAACACAAGATGGGTTGCTACCATTCCAGAATAAAGAGGGAAGAAACAGTGTCACGGTGCTACCATTTTTTCTGCCTGCCTTTGCTTACTACTCTTCAATATCATTGGATCAGAATCTCAATTACATTTATTATTTCTTTCTCTTATTAAGATTCTGATCTAACGATATTGGAGAATGGTAAGTAAATGTTGGATCCTGATCTAAAGGAGCTATCTTGGAGAGGTAAGGCTTGAATCCATAAAAAAATGAATCCAAACCCTTCTTACTCCCACTTTTCATTTCGTCCATAATAATTATATGTTGATAATAATATTGTAAATTATTAAAAATGAGGTCCTGATATTAAATGTAAGGCCAGGAAGCGTTACATGAAGCAGTTTGTGCAATCAAGATACGCTTTTTCTACCGCGCAACGGGTAAACAGAGGCAGAGAGTATAACAAGACTAGAGTAATTTTATCCAAAAAATGTTGGAAAATATCTCCACCGGATAGGAATCCGAAAATACCATCCCCTCAATGGTATTCAAGGAATGGATTTTGCTTTACAAATTGGATTCCTGAGAATCTGATTTTTTGAGAAAAAATTTCACAGTTCTTGTACCAAAACGTGGGTAAATAAGATTCCAATATTAATTTTCTGAAAATCTAAAATTTATCCACTCATGTATAAAAATAACTACAATACACATAATATCATATCGCTAAAAAAAATGGGTTTTATAAAAGTTATGTTGTAGGAAAAGTAATTGTGTAATATTATAGAGATTTATTTTGCGTGCCTTAATTTTATTTTTTATTTTTTTGCGTCAAAAGATGCGAATTTTTGTGTGTGTAAGAATTTTGTATGTGTAACGTAACATGATAGATGCAAACTCAAAAAAAAAAAAAAAAAACTCAAGTTAACTTTGACTAATGTCGAAGTCCGCTCTACTTTTCACGATGGAAGAATTCAGAAGAGCATGAGGAAACTAATATACATGACACTCTCTCTGCACAAATGAAAGCCGAAGGCACTGGGAGATGCATGAAAATAGCAACATAACATAGGTGAAATAAAACACGTAAGAAATTTGGCTTTTTGACCCTTTTATTTTTAATTAATAACCATTTTATATTTTATTCAAAATTGTCTATCAACTTTTTAATCGATTAACTTGAAGATTTAATCGATTAAATGGTCAAACAGGCAACAAATGTCAAATCTCCTTCATAAACAAAAGTAGATTCCATGCATATGAAGCAAATCAACAAGCATAGATAACCAAAGAAACTAACAAAAGAAAAATGATTCTTGAAAATTGGATTGATTTACATGAACTGATTTTGTTACTTTTCCTTTGATATAGTACACCAACCTATTAGATTTTAAAATATGATAAACAAGCAAATTAAAGAAACAAAAAAATTGTCGAGTACGCCAACCTCAAGCTGCCACGCACCCTCTTGGATCTTCGCCTTCTCAAGTACTTTCCTTTCTTACCTATTAGGTTTTAACGATTATATGATTCTTTTGTTCTTGAAATTTTAATTTTTAATTTTTTTTTAAATATGAATTACTTTCAGTTCTTTAAGAGAATTTGAGTTCCAATGTATTGGTTGATGGTTAAAATCTATCTATAGTAGTTACTGTGTATTTTTGTCTTTTTGCATAGATAAGCAAATGTAAAGTGATCATATTGTCAATCTCGGAACGATGACAATGATCAAGGTGAATAACGAACTATTCTCGTCTTGCGTATTCATCATAAAAATACTTAGCAGAATCTTTAATCAGTTTTCTGTGTTTGTCTCATTCAATTAATGCTTACACGGTCATTTGAGATATTTAATCGATTAAATATAAGTTTTAATCGATTAAATCGATTAAGAGGGATATTTATCGATTAAGAGGGAGATTTAATCGATTAAATCTCGAGTCAATTATTTTTGACAAATTTGACCATTTAATCGATTAAATCTTCAAGTTAATCGATTAAAGAAGAACAGATTAATAGATATTTTTGAATAAGGAATAAAATAATTATTAATTAATTAATAAAAGACAAAAAATCAAAAAGCCTAAGAAATTTAATAGTAAAGTTCTTGAGCTTTCACTAAAAATTTTCGAGTATTTGATACACGAGTGGTGTTTTCGTTTTTGTTCGGGTTTCCTCTGGTTTCAAAGAAAGGCTTTTGGGCTTTAATGTTTTAGCTCAAGTAACTCATTTGCATTAGAGTATTGTAAAATAAGCTATCACGGAAAAAAATTATATTTAAATATTTTTATTTACAAAATGGAGAAATGTTACATTTACAACCTATTTTTGTTTACAACTTCTTACAATCATATCTTTACCGTTGATTTCTGCCAATTAACAGTTATTATTTATTACGAATTAATAATTAATTAATAAATTTTATTTACAAAAATCTTAACCGTTGATTGACGAAAATTAATGGTTAAAATATGGGTTGTAAGAGGTTGTAAGTATAATTATTTCCTACAAAATGATCTTAAAATAATAAATATTATTATTGAAAATTATTTTTAAATGAATAATTACTTAAAGTAGAAGTTTTATATTACATTGTTTTTTAAAATATAACTATTTTGATATATGATTTACAAATATTATGAGTGTTATTATGGTTTTTGAACATATGTATACATTACTCTGGTAATTTGGATCCAGGTATTGTGAAGGTCACATATCTATAGGTGCTTATCCAAGATCGAATTATTATGATTTTTAATTCTATTATTATACAAGGAAATCCAAGAAAAGCATGTTGGACGCAATGTTATCACATTCGCATTCGTCGTCGACTCGGTCGATACTGAATTAAATATATATATAATAAAATATAATAAATACAAAATTAAAAATATTTTAACTAATAATTAGAGTTGATTTAGTGATAAATGTTATAAATTATAATTCACGGTTTAATACTTGGTTCAATCAATTTCATATTAGTTTAAATACACGACCGACCCAATACTTAAACTAAACCGATTGAGATCGGGTTTACGGATCAACCGGTCCAACTGGTCGGTGGATCGGTTTTTATAACTGATTGTGATTGGGTGCGAAAACACCGCAACCGAAAGAAAGCAAGCATGCGACAAAACTTGAAAACGGGTTTTCTTTGACTGTCAGCAACCTTCTACTACTTTTTCGCTGTCTTTCCTTTTCCCTATGCTTCCACATTCCAGAGAATTCAACACAAGTTTAGATTTTCCTATGGACTGAAGAAAAGAATAGAAAAAAGAAGAAGACAAATTAAACTCTGAGATCCAATCTAAGTAATAGCTATCTATCAGGCTAAAACCCAGGCCAAGTGTGGTTGATTGAATCAGTTTGTTTTCCCATTTTGGATTTTCAATGGATGTTTCTTCGTCGTCGTCGTCGTCAAGTCATGCTGAATTCGATTACTTGTTCAAGCTTCTGCTTATTGGGGATTCTGGGGTTGGCAAAAGCACGCTGCTTTTGAGCTTCACCTCTGATACTTTCGAGGATCTTTCTCCCACCATAGGTCAGTTCACTATTAAACAAACTATTACTTCCAATTTTATTTTCCCCATTAAATTTTGAATATATTTCTTGCATTTTGGTGTTAAGATTGGATGAGAGGTTTATGCTGTTTGCTTATCTTGTCAAGACTAAATGTGTATCAGATTGCTTAGGAGTTTCACGTCTTCTAACTGTGGGTATCATATGCTTTACTAGGTCTTGATGGTACTGAGAATTCGGTGTTTAAGAGTTATTGTGTTTGTTCAAATAAGGATCCTTGAATTGTGTGGTAACTGTTTAGGCTTGACAACAGTTTCATTCATTTCAGGGTATTCATATGATATATCATAGAAGATTGTTCCTTGTAGTTTTGTCACGTAACCAATACTCCCAAAACTTTAACAACCTTTAGGAGGAGGCACATGAATACTTCTATTATATCTCTTTTAACACACCCTATTAGGCGACGCCTTATTTATTTTTTTGGGTTTGAAGCGTTCATTATATTTCTTTTTATCAATCTTGTGCTTAAATTCAATTTTTTATTTAATAAATGGGGCGACAAAGATCAAACTCTAGACCACTTGCCAACACTCCCAAAAGCTAAAGCCTTTACTAGGATGCACATGAATGAACGGTTTTATTATATCTCTTGAACAAGTTTTTCCATGTTGTCTCACCTGTTCTTTTTTCTAGGTAGTGTCTCTTTCATTATCTGTTTGTAAAATTGAGTTCAAGAGCATCTTTGTCATAGAGGGTGTTGGAAGAAATTTAAGGAATCAGAATAGTAATTGAAGTGTTATTTTATTCTCAGTTTATAAACTGATAATGTTCATGTAGATGTGAGCTCTTTCGTCTCGTGTGTTAATCTTGAAAGTTATGTCCTAATGTATTTGAACAGAATGAGATGTGTTTGATGATATATTTCTAGTTCATTGATGCTTATAGATGGTGCTGGACTGCTCATGTTTTGTGAACATCTTATCTTTGAAGTACCTATAGCTATAAGGATGTTGATACTCGTAATTTTTCTTGGAACATGTGATTGTGTGACTGTGGACTTACCGGTACAATTTCTTGGCATTTTGGTTCCTAATATTGGAATTGGCAGAAATCACCAGTATATATTTTGGCTGCCAATGCACAAATCAATACTGAGTCTAGTTACAAGATAAGGCCAGTCACATCAGACTTCTTGCACATGACTATTTACTAGATCTAATGGTGTTGTTATGGAACAAACCTAAAACCAGGATTCAACTATGCTGGTTGGACTGTTGTGTTAAGAAGCATTAATTTTTTTGAAGCTTTTAATTTTTGTTTATAAGAAATATCTAGTGTATGTCTTCAACAGATAATGCATGTTATTTAGTTGCATCATCATAGAGTCATGATAACCCCTTACTTTGATTTGAGAAGTCATAGTAAAGGGGATGTTTGTGTGTGCTTTATGATATTATTATGGAGTCTATCACCCAATTATATGTTAGAAAAAGTATACCTGCTGTCATATGCATTGATTCTTATAAACATGATGCAGGTGTAGATTTCAAAGTTAAATATGTTACAGTTGGCGGGAAAAAGTTAAAACTTGCTATTTGGGACACAGGTAATGTGCTATGTGTTAATTGTAATTTCTGGAAAGTCAAAATCCTGTTATTTGTCAATCATTTTTGGAGTTCCTTTTGTTATGTGTTTTTTGATTCCTATTTTTGTTTTCAAAATTCTATATTAGTTAAGGTGCGGAACTTTCTCTATTGCGACAAAATCGTGCTGCATTTTGAGTGTGGAAGCGCAGTATCTCTGGTGTACTTAACTGTTTTGAGCTATAATTGCACTGTATGCCATACCAAGTGAAATTTTTAAAATTTATTTTTGAATATTTCACTATTGGTTCATCAACATATCCAAGGATGACGACATGTATGGGCTTTGAGGTCAAGATTATAAGTACTAACTGTTAAGTAAATAAAGAATTTGGCAAGTTCTGCAAAATTGTTTAAAATCAGCATATGAGGAATGTACCTTATATTCATGTTATAGGACAGAAAACTTTAGTTAGCTGTCAGTGTCACTGGTAGAATATTATATTATAGAATTATATTTCAAATATATTTGTTGAAATTACAGCATATTGAAAGTTCCCCGTATATATTTAAGAAAATAATGTGATGCTTTAGCTATTGTGTGCCGTCCACGGTTTATATTTCTTATAGACAGAGATAAGCAGCTTGTTGTGGTATACTAAATTCTCTTTTCTTTGTTACAAATTTGTGTAACTAAAGCTTTTGAGAAGCCTGGCCAACCATATCTGGTATAAGTTAGCTGTATAATTTGTGTTTTGTCTTTCTGAAGCTGGACAGGAAAGGTTTAGAACACTTACTAGTTCATACTATAGAGGAGCTCAAGGAATAATTATGGGTATGTTCCTTGTTTTTTTCATTACTTAGCTATATTTCCTGTTTGCTTTACCATGATTGTGAAGGCACATGAATGATTTTATATCTAACAAGATGTATGTGAAATCACATCAAATGCATGAAACCTGAGTTAGACGATTCAGGATATTATAGCAAAAGTGGAGTGGTATGTGAGTAACACTTAAATTTTGGTGGTAGCACTGGTTCTTTTACCTTAGTGAAATTCTGTATTAGGAACAAAGAGGAAAATACTTTCCATATGAGGCAGCCAACAAAATGGGACAAGGGATCTTCAAATTGTGGATAGGCCAGATCTTTTACAATCTAGAGCCCCAATAGCTAAACTAAACTGTGGTTAAGAGAATTAGCATACCTATAGACATTACCAGCATTAATTTAAACATATTAATTGTTATTTATTGGGGACGTGGTGATGGCAATGGGTCTCTTGTGTTAACCTCAACTCAGTGGCCTTAATAATTTCTAGGAAATGTCCTTCAAATTGAAAATATTGAAAATTTGATGACTGAGTGTTGACAATTGCCTGGAAGCTTTTTCTTCAGATCACAATTTTGTAAATCAGATAGATAGAACTGCAATGAGAGTATTGGAGAGGATTCATTTATAATATCATATTTCTTTTGTTGTGTAATTACTTGGTGTTATTGTTAGTATTATTTTCTTGGACTCTTGATTTCTAGACCATAAATCTGGCTAACACAGTATAGCAATGACATGATTTATTTCTAGTTGTAAAGAGATTGTTTGAATTGTTTTAGCGTTAGCAATCACATGTATGTTTCAGTTTTATGTTGTAAGCTTATTCAATGAATCTGGTTTATGAATGCAGTATATGATGTGACACGGCGGGAAACCTTTACAAATCTGTCTGATATATGGAGTAAAGAAATTGACTTGTACTCAACAAATCAAGATTGCATCAAGATGCTTGTAGGAAACAAAGTTGATAAGGTATGTCATTAATGAATTTGCATTTGTGTATTACTTCATTCCAGCAAATTGTGAGGGTAAGTTTCGATTCACTGATCCATTTAGAAGTTTGCATATGAATATGTTTTTGCAAATGCTGCTCATGCGAGTGTTCATATTTAGAATAGATATGTGGAGGTATACCACATCCTAATATTCTCATATTTCAGGAAACTGAAAGGGTTGTCAGCAAAAAGGAAGGGATAAACTTTGCAAGGGAGTATGGATGTCTTTATACTGAATGCAGTGCGAAAACCCGAGTCAATGTTGAGCAGTGTTTTGAGGAACTTGTAATGAAGGTACACATGCAACTCTCCCTCAACTTCTAAAAATAAAATAAAATAAAGACCACAAGCTCACAGATAGTTGATATTTGAGGCTTTCTGCCAACCGTGGACCTTTCTTGAGATTCTCTTGTACCAGAGAAACACTACAGCACGCTGAAATAATTGAAATGGTTATCATTGCTGTAATTACTTTTGTTCATATATGTCCTCTCTTGACAATTTCTTTTTATGAAATATTTTTTTGAAAGGACTTGCCTTATTGTAATGAAATGAATTAGTAACTTGAGATATTCAACATCAATATCACTTTTAATCCAAACTAGTTGAAGTCCGGAGTTAATGAACCCAAATAAAATGAGAGAAAAGATTGAGTGAATAGAAAAATAAATAAGAGAGAAAAAACAAAATAAATACATAAATGGAAGAAGCCTTTTGTCATGTAGGATAAAAGCCATAGGATATAGTCGAATGTTAAGAGAGAAGAATGGGTGAAAGAGATATGAAACACTGCCAAAAGAGAGATTGTCTTCTGGCTAGCAACCAGAAAAATAGAAGACTGTTGTCATTAATAAAAAAGTTAACCATCTCCTGCTGCATCCATTAAACCCGTTATTTGGGATTGAAACCCTAATATAAAACATATCCTGGCCCTTAGAACGAGTTCAATCCTAGCTGTCTGAGGTTAATTGGACCAACAAATACAAAGACTAATAAAATACGAAATAACTCTGACAATTACCTCACTACAACTGTGTGAACCCTACTTGCACTGCATTAGCATGAAGAATACCTATCTGTGGTAGGCCGTAACAGCAGCTCAACGTATATTTATATTGATACCCTTTATCCTTCACTTTTTACCTCCAAGAAGTGCTAGTATCATAATGGCTGTCCCAGATATAAGCTTGAAGTGGTGAATTGTAATGTAACATAATGTGATTTGGTACAGGCCGCACAAAAACTCAAACAACTGCTGTATCAATCTAATCTTACTGAACAATGTGCAGCCATTTTTCTTAAATTGACATGCATTGCTAGATATACATGTTGCCATTTTTAAAGAAAAAACAAAAAAAATTGTGGGTGTTGTATTGCTGTAACGAAGAACTGATAAAAATTTGGGTTGTCTGCTTATCTGCAGATTTTGGAGACACCAAGCCTCTTGGCTGAGGGCTCATCTGGGGTGAAAAAGAACATCTTCAAGCAGAAACCCCCACAGTCTGATGCATCAACTAGTGGCTGTTGCTCATGGTGATTGTAATGTTTTAAGATTGGCTTTCACCTTCCACTTTTCAGTATGATCTGGATTTCAAGTGCGCTAAAATTTCATTAGATGTACCAAAAAGTAATGTCATTAGAGCCTGTATATCTAGCATTAAATGGTCGATTATCTCAAGAATTTGCCTACCTTTTAAAGATCTTCATTTTATTGGGTGTGAGCAAGTAATCAGCTGGGGATTTCATATTTCATACTGCCCTTGCATTCCTCTAAAGAAAGGCTTTTGTGTATATTTATGCTCTGATGTTTTAACATGATCATGGATGAGATTCACATAATAGAGGAAATTCAAATTGAGAACTTTCTCTAATAAGCATAACCATTATTATGGTACCATTGTTTGGAGCACTGACACAGCATAAGAGTAGAGTGGAACATCATAATTCTTTGAAATTTGTCACAACGTATGTAGTAGATATAGCAAATCAGTTAAAAGATGGCCATGGTCTACTGTATTTGGTGATTCAACCAACAACGAAATAGTCATATAAAATTTTAAAATTTTATTTTTATCCTTTATTATAAAAAATCCTGGTTCCGTTGCAGATGGGTCAGGAGATATAAACAAACAAAAAAACAAATGGCATCATGGCTCTAATTTAATTTGAATGTTTTTTTATCAGAAGAATGACACATCGCTGTCATATATCATGTTAAATAAGGCTTGAAACGTCTACGTGAAAAGAGAAATTTTGAGGTGCTGTTATGGTAATGTTTTAAATGGTTGACATTTAATTCAAAACTTTTTAAATAATATTTTAAATTTAATGTGACGATATGATTATACAGTCCATTTTTATCAAACTGTAATATTCTAGATTACACAAAAAAATTATCCGGTAGAAGGTCATCCCCGTATATTACCCAACAGCATCATGGACTATGCAGTAAGAAGAAAATGTCAACTTGTATTTTTTACATTTTATGGCAGATGTATTATGATCCGTCCACCGCGTGTCATAAATCAAGTGTCTCGATGCATATTCTAACCAGCGTATTCGCTTTTACACAAAATAATCTAGTTGTCAAACAAAAAAAAAGAGAAAAAAGATTTTTCTTTCTCTCTTTTTTAAGTGTGATATTCATAGAGAGTGAGTGTAAAATATATATAAATACACACACATATATGTTTTAATATTTTTACAGTGAAAGTAGATAAACATTCATTTTCAAAACAATGTTATTTTGGGTTGAAAAATTATAATAATAAAAATTATTATAACATTGAAATAAATTATAATTACAAAAATATTCTAATTTTTTGTTCCAAAACGACGTCATTTTTGGCTCAATGCAAATAACTTCTCTTTATTCATCGCAGAAAAAGCGAACTTATAAATATATTTTCTGATAATTTTACTATTAATTAAGAAAATATTTTATTTAGATTGACAAATCAAACAAAAATATAATATTTGCATACGTACAGAATGCATGATAGAGTTTATTTGTATAGTTATAATACATATTTCCGTCATCATCAGGTTCTATGGTATAGTGGTTAGCACTCTGGACTTTGAATCCAGCGACCTGGGTTCGACTCCCGGTAGGACCTTTTTCAATTTTTCCATACTAGAATGTCGACTTTTGCTTTATTCGTTCACTGCCGCCTTGAGGTCCACACCAAAGACAAGGTGACACTGACATGAATACATGATGTAGCTTTCAGCTTTCTGCTAGAAATAAAAAATGAAAAAGCTTATTATTTTCACAAAAAGTTAAGTTATATAAAAACACCCCTCGAGCCCAAGGGGGCCCAAATGAGGCCCAACAAAAAGAAAAAACTGAGAGGATGGAATCCATTAGGCGAAGGCCCACAGACAGGACAGCTCCGAAATGCAATGATATCTTTTTCCAACTTTGTGAAATGAACGTGATGATGGGAGTGGCGAAAGAGAACTTAAAAAAAATAAAACTGTTTGCTCCCGCGAAAAAGCAGTTGCTGTGAAATACAATATTGCAAAGCATAACTGTAAAGCCAACTCTCCCTCGTGACTCACCATTCTTTCCTTTTTCTTCTTTCGTTCTTTCTTCCATTCCCCCAGCTTTGGGAACACACAATAATGGTGATGGAAACTGAGTATTACGATATCCTCGGGGTCACTCCCTCTGCCTCCGATGATCAAATTCGCAAGGCTTATTATCACAAGGTTTTTATTTATTTCTTTATTTTTACTTTTTTTAACCTTTTTTTTATTGTTTGTTTTTAATTCCTGAAATTCTTATTGTTACAATCGCAAATGCAAATATGATGAATGAGATTCTTACTTTTTCTGTTACTGCTACAGGCAATGCAAGTTCATCCCGATAAAAACCCAAACGATCCTCGTGCTGCTGAAAAGTTTCAGGTAACTAACTCCATTTCACTTTAATCTCTCAGGTTTAGATTTCTTTTTCTTTTATTTTATTTATTTACAATAATTTAAGGAATATATATATATATATATATTGTGATTTGTGATGTTGGCAGATTTTGGGCGAAGCATACCAAGTTTTGAGCGATCCGGTGCAAAGGAACGCGTATAATCAAAATGGGAAGCATTGTGTTTCTAGGTACAGATGATGATGATGATGATGATGATATTATTTTTCAGCTTGATCTCATTCTCTGGCTTAGCATTATGATATTTGCTAACAATCAGGGTTGATTAGATTGAAAACTTTGGTCACTTCCTGCACATTTAGCTTTTTGTTATGCTGATGAGTTTGGTGGAAATATCGTGTTAAGCATGATAGTGTTCTGTTTGCATGCATTGTATGTATCAGTTCTCCGTCGCTGAAGTTGTGGCTTGCGCTAACACTAGTAAAGATTTCTAGTTGTGTTGATATTCAGTAATGTTATTTTTAATCTAAAGCCTTCGGTGACTAATACAGAGCCATTATAGATATGCATCTGAGTCACAATTTGTACTTGATTGATTTTAAACACTAGCATCCAACATGGTAACATGTCAAAAGGTCCAAAGTAGAATCTGGGTTAGCAAAAAGCACATTCCTCGAAATGAATAAGAGGGACAAAAAAAAAAAAAGCTAACGGTTAAATCAATAAAAGTCAAAAGATGATCAGTATACACCCCGTTTTATTGTTCTACATCGCTGTCTTCCCTGAAGATGAATATTTTTTTCTCAAAAGATTAATGAATTCGTTGACAGAGAAACTATGCTTGACCCCACGGCTGTCTTCGCCCTGCTCTTCGGAAGCGAATTGTTTGAGGACTACGTAGGGCATTTAGCTGTGGCATCAATGGCTTCTTCTGAACTAGATGATGAAAATGATGATCCTGATAAGTTCAATGAAAAGTTAAAGGCAAGTATGTTTTACAATTGAGTTTTCATTATAAATTTGAGTTTGTCAACGTAAATTTTGCCCAGAGAAAGAAAAGGGTGAAGTTATGGAGACATTTTGCAATACATAAGTAGCACAATTCTTCCCTTAGATGCAGTCTATGTGGAGAAATTATAACGCCAGAGATGACATGGCATTGTTAGCTACGCTTTAAATTGTCAATTTGAAAGAGGATGGGGGAGGGGGTTGAATTTTGCCTTATGTTTGTTGTGCTTTGATCTAGGCTGTCCAAAAAGAAAGGGAAGAAAAGCTAGCAAGATTTTTGAAAGATTTTCTCGGCCAATATGTCCGTGGTGACAAAAAGGGATTCTTCCATCGCGCAGAATCTGAAGCAAGACGGCTTTCTCATGCAGGTAGATATTGAGTGCCTCATACAGGGAAAATGACCCATTAGACTTCAAAGCTTGACTTACACTTTCTGATTGAATTTTAAACGAGTTGACTCACATTTTGCCATCAAAATTCGAATGCTTTGTCTTTACATCCTGAATTGTGAGCCATGAACTGTCATGATTTTTGAGCGCAGTAGTGCAAAGTAATGGCTATATTATGATACAGAATATGGTTCGTAGCATGTTATTGTGTCAATGATAATACCAATTAGTTTCCGCTCTCTCTGAATACAGCCTTTGGAGTTGATATGTTAAATACCATCGGCTATATATATTCAAGACAGGCAGCGCAAGAACTAGGAAAAAAAGCCATTTATCTTGGAGTGCCATTTGTGGCTGAATGGGTTCGGAATAAAGGACATTTCTGGAAATCACAGTTTACAGCTGCTAAAGGTATAATGACAAGCAATTCCATTAACAATCCCTCCCTTAAATGTCAGTTGCTTCTTCTTGGAAGTTAGTTATTACGATGTCTGATTTTGTTGAGAACATATAATTTAGGTGCTTATCAGTTACTTCAGCTTCAAGAAGACGTCCGCAAACAATTTAAAATGGATGGTAGTGGCCCTGAAAATGATGTTGACTCTCACATTCGCCTTAATAAGGATACACTGATGAATTCCTTGTGGAAGTTAAATGTAGTGGACATAGAAGCAACTCTTGTACACGTGTGTCAATTGGTAAGTTCTTAACTCGTTTTAATTATATAAAATACTGTGTATTAGTGTGTAATTTGATATAGTAGTTGGTCAAGAAACAGGTTATTGTATTCCATGTCGTTTAACCAGAAACATGAAGCTATCGGTTTGAAAAGATAACTACTATTTCCAGATGGTAAAATGAGGAATTTTCTGTTATAAAACCTGAGTCACTTAAGCCTAATGTAATCTGGGACGAGTGATAATGGATTTTAAATATAATTTCTTTGTTAAGAACTGAATTTTTTATCCCCTGCTAGCTGACCCAAGGAAATGAAAACGCTCTCAGATTCTTATTCATAAATCTATTGTCGCAGGTGCTAAGGGAAAATAACGTCAAGAAAGAGGAACTTAAAGTTCGGGCTACAGCTCTTAAAACTCTTGGGAAGATATTTCAGGTGCACATTTTAAGTAACCTAGTATCAAGTATTCAAGCTTTCAGCTTTCAGGAATAATACAGGCTATGAATTGTACTTTCTATTAATTCTTGTTACCCACTTGATCCCTCGCCCCATGACTCCCTTTTCCCACAGCATAAACAATCTAACTGTCCATGATGTAAGATAGGCTACAAATTTTTTAGATATAGTGCAAAATTGGAGACAATTGTGTACCTTGTATTCTAAAACAGGGCAGATGTATCGAATTATAAAAAACAAGACATTTTGGTGTTCATCAATGATCTCTTTGCAAATTGCATATAAATAAGGCCAAAGGAGGGAGTAAAACAAGCTATCATCAACTTACAATGATGAGAAACTTCATTTTCGTGTAGTAGCCAGTATGATATGGTGATGCTTCTTTCAGGACAAAAATTCAAAAGGAGAAACATTGAAGAAGAAAATCGATGCTGATTCTGATGACGAAGGAAGCAGTTCTGATTCTTCAGAGGATGAATCGCCTAGAGCACTTTCTTATCGAACTCCCTTTTTCACTCAGGCATGAATCGAAAACTATTTAGAGCTAATCACATGCATGCGCTTAAGATCTGCCTTCAAATTTAGGCTTTATAATGTCTTAATAGTTCATACCATCATGCATATGTAGATATTTTGATAACGAAGATATGTACATATTATTTCTCCCTCTGCTGTTGCAGGGTATCGGTAGGCTCTTCAAATGCCTTTGTAATCCAGCATTTGATGTTGATGATGAAGAGATAGTTTACAAAAGCAAATGATCCGCATAAAAGTATGGACTACGAAACAAAAATTCAGCCCTTGTCAACATTTTGTTCGTGAGATGATACACTAAAAGAGCTTGTCTGATACCCTCCTGAACGTAGTTTTGGGAAGACAATGGTGCAGGCCGTGAATAACCATATTTTGTTGCTTGTTGTAATTACCACTGTCATCAAGTTACATGTTGCATAACACTTGGTCAAGAATTATCCTTTCTGTCAATTCCACAGCTCTTTTTTCTTTTTTTCCACTCTCTTTGTATGTTAATAAATTGAAAATTCATAGTAACTTCTATTTGGGATCGGTTTCGAAAGCTCCGGAACCCAACTTGAGAATTGTGTATGGCAAACTTTTGATTCCCACCACGCTGCAATTTAGTGTCCAAATGGTAGTTATCTCAAAATATAGTAAAAAATATTAAAATTAGTATATAAAACTTTAGAAATATTATTAGTTCTCTAAAAAACCACAAGGAAATAATTAATAAAGAATAAATATATTATATGTATATATAAATATAATGGTAATTATACTAGTGGAATACCAACGTCTAATCCCAATTAAATTTTTTAAATTTAAAAAAATGATAATTATAGAATGGTGATTAATTGATATTAATTATTAACATTAATTAATCAAATAATATATACACAAAAACCTAAAAATAATAAGTCAACTTTAAGTCAATAGAAAAAAATGTAAATACATCAATTATATAATTTGAGCATAACTATATCAGCTTAGCTCTAAGTATAAAAATGTAACGGAATGTTTAAGACCAATTTGAGAATTTTCAGAGTATAATATCAATTTTTCTTAAACCCAAAATTTTAATACATTTTGTATTTTCCTCGCGCAACATTTTAATATTTTTTATTCATTCACATATGTTTGTATTTATCAAGTGCAGCAGCACTTTAATGTATTTTTTATTCTTCATGTGCGACATCTTAATATATATTTTTATTCTTTAAAATATTTTTTTGCTGCCCATATATAACACTTTAATATACTTTTTATTTATGAATACATGTTTTATTTCTAATGTGCAGCCCCTTAATATATTTTTAATCTAAATAACTCAAAAGTATTTTGTAATTTTATCACTAAATTTTGCACTTTGAACCAAAATTTAGAAAAAGGAAGACAACACCCATTTCGGAGAGTTATTGAAAACAGATACAAAGAAATTTTAAAGAGGAAACTGAGCAAATAGTACAGCAAAGACAACACTATTATGGCTGAGGTTGACAGACAGTTGGAAGCATACGATAGTGTTTTGCATTAACTAAAGCAAAACCTAATCATAAGCAAGGTTCAACTTGAAAGAAAAGGGTATTTGAAATATTATTGAATTGTGAATTAATATGATACAAAGAGGTCTCTATTTATAGAGACCAAAAATCCTAATTCTTGACCTAATGGGCTTGGCCCAATACAACAAATACTAATAATAATAAAAGACCTAATATTTACAACACTCCCCCTCAAGCTGAGGAATAGATATTTATCATTCCCAGCTTGCTAGTAAGTTCTTGAAATCTATCTGAAGGAAGTCCCTTTGTCAATAGATCAGCTAATTGACGCCCAGTGGGAATGTATGGAGTGGTAATCAACCCGCTATCAAGTTTCTCTTTGATTAAATGGCGGTCGACCTCAATATGTTTAGTCCGATCATGTTAAACTGGATTATGAGCTATACAAATAGCGGACTTATTATCACATAGCAGCTTCATAGGTCCCTCACATTTTATTTTGAGATCATCAAGTACAATTTTCAGCCACAGTAACTCACAAATGCCTTGAGCCATAGCTCGAAATTCAGCTTCTGCACTTGATCTGGCAACCACATCTTGTTTCTTACTTCTCCATGTCACCAAGTTACCGCAAAGAAACATGCAATAACCAGTGGTAGAACGACGGTCAGTCACGGATCCAGCATAATCAGCATCAGTGTAGACTTCTAAAGAGAGATTACCATCACGTCGGAATAACAATCCTTTACCAGGAGTAGCTTTAAGATACTGAAGAATTCTCTCTACTGCCTGCATGTGTTTCTCCTTTGGATCGTGCATAAACTGATTGACAACACTAACAGCATAAGCTAGGTCTGGCCTAGTATGGGCCAGATATATCAATTTTCCAACTAGCCGTTGATATTGTCCTTTATCAACTGGAGGACTCTCCTCTTCAAAGCCTATCTTGTGATTCTGCTCAATAGGAGTATTAGAGGGTTTACACCCGAGCTTCCCTGCTTCTTTGAGAAGATCCAAAACATATTTCCTCTGACTGATAAAAATTCCTTTGCTTGAATGAGCTACTTCTATCCCTAGGAAATATCTTAGTTTCCCAAGGTCTTTGACTTCGAACTCAGAGGCAAGTCGTGTCTGCAGAATCTGTCTCTCCACAAAATCATCACCTGTGATAATAATATTATCAACATATACAAGGAGCACGGTAAGCTTCCCATTTTGGGAGTGCTTGAAGAAAAGAGTGTGATCTCCTTGACTCTGTCTATATCCTAAGGTCATCATAACCTTAGTAAACCTTCCAAACCAAGCACGAGGTGACTGTTTCAATCCATACAAGGCCTTTTTTAATCGACAAACTTTATTTTCCCCCTTCACAGAATCAAAACCAGGCGGGATTTCCATGTAGACTTCTTCTTCTAACTCACCATTGAGGAAAGCATTTTTCACATCAAATTGATTTATATCCCAATTGTAATGGGCAGCAAGGGACAACAAGATTCTCACTGTATTCATCTTTGCAACTGGAGCAAAGGTTTCTTCATAATCAATGCCATAGGTTTGAGTGTAACCTTTGGCGACTAATCGAGCCTTGTATCTCTCAAGAGTGCCATCAGAATTATATTTCAGGGCATAAACCCATCTGCACCCTACTGCTTTCTTTCCGTTGGGTCTATCAATAACCTCTCATGTTTTATTTTTCTCCAACGCATTCATCTCCTCTTGCATGGCTTGAGCCCAATTCCCATCTTTCAAAGCTTCATGTACTGATTTTGGGATTGAAGTAGAATCTAGTGCTGAAACAAAGGTTTTGTGCTGCACAGAAAGATTAGCAGAGGAAACAAAATGGGAGATAGGGTATTGAGTACAAGAGGGACAGGAAGAACAAGTTTTCTTGGAACAAGATCTTTTTCCTTTTCTTGAAGCAATGGGTAAATCATCTGAAGCAGTAGTAATGGGTAAGTCATCAGAAACAGTAGTAATGGGTAAGTCATCAGACGTATTAACATCATGATCAGAAATATGAGATTCAGGACTTACCAGTGGTTCAGACGATTGAGGTTGCTGTTGAGGCAATGTGGGCTGTTTCCTTCTTTGATATACCAATTCAGGTGTTACAATCTTCCGTATCTCTGGTGTATTTGATGTATCAGTCATAGGAGGATCAGTCACAGGAGGATCAGACATAGACACATTAGGAACAGGAACAAGAGGAAGAGACACTGACACAGGTGAAGAAGTAGACACTGAAGATTCAAAGAAGGAAGGTGATGAGTCTTCTGGTGAATTATTCTCCCCCTGAAGATGAGGACCTTGGAAAAAGGACTCAGATTCCTGAAATGTAACATCCATAGAAACAAAAAATTTCCGACTTCCAGGGTGATAGCACTTGTAGCCCTTCTTATCAGGAGCATAACCAAGGAAGACACATTTAAGAGCCCTAGGATCCAACTTACTGCGATGCTGTTTATGAATATGAACAAAGACAACACACCCAAACACTCGAGGAGGAAGACTTTGCAAAGTTGGAACAGAAGGAAAAAAAGAAGTCATGGAGTGAATAGGACTTACATGATCGAGAACCCGAGTGGGTAGACGATTGATCAAGAACGCTGCAGTAAGAATGGCATCTCCCCAATAGCATTTGGGTACATGTGTTTGAAACAGTAAGGCACGAGCAACTTCAAGAAGGTGACGATTTTTCCTTTCAGCAACCCCATTTTGTTGAGGGGTGTCTACACAAGTAAGTTCATGAATCATACCTTGATTTTGTATAAATTGGGAAAAAGAGTGATTGACATATTCAGTACCATTATCTGTCCTTAGTCTTTTGATATTTTTACAAAATTGAGTCTCAATCATTTTATAAAATTGAAAGAACAGTTGTGGTACCTCAGACTTTTCACGCATTAAGTAAACCCAAGTGACACGAGTGTAATCATCAATAAAAGAAACAAACCATTTATTTCCAGAAGAATGAGGGACCTTAGAAGGACCCCAAACATCAGAATGAATAAGATCAAAGGGTTCAACACTCTTAGTAATACTAGAAGGAAAAGACACACGATGATGCTTAGCAAATTCACAAACATCACAATGAAAAGACTCAACAGACTTAGACAAAAACAATGACGGGAATAAAGATTTGAGTAAACAAAATGGAGGATGACCCAAACGCTTATGATGCAGCCAAATTAAAGAATCAGCAGTTGATTGACCATGAGACATGAATGTGTGATCTATTACTTTTTGCGGGAGATTGTGACACCAGATAGTACAGCCCACCTTGCTCTTTAGCACTACCAATCGTCTTCCCTGTGGCGAGATCCTGAAAAACACAATGGGTAGGGAAGAAGGTTACAGTACAATTCAAATCTTTTGTAATTTTGTGAATAGAAAGAAGATTCGTGGAGAGTTTAGGAACATGAAGAACATCCTTAAGATGTAAGGACTGCTGTAAGTTTATGTCACCAGAACCCGCAACTGATGTATGTGAGCCATCAGCTATGGATATTGTATGAGTTTCAATGGTAGGATGATAAGAAATAAAGGAGTCAGCACAACAAGCCATATGATCAGTAGCACCAGAATCAACAACCCAAGAATGTTTAAAATCATTACATGAAGAAATGAAAGAATGAGTTTTGGAGCTCATACCAGTCATAGCCAAAGCACTAGTATCAGATGGCTTACTCAGATAATCAAGAATGGTTCGGAGTCGTTCCAACTCATCTGGACAAAATGCAGATTGGGTCTCATTAGGTGCAGGGGTTATTTCAGAAGAAGTAAAATGCGCTTGACCACACATCCTTGCCATCTTTTCTAAGACAGTTTGCTTTCCATAAAGGCGAAAGCATAAATCCTTGATATGACCTGTTCTTTTACAATAAGAACACCATCGATCATTTCTCTTAGGTCTAGAAGAGGTACCATCATAAAATTTTGAAAAAGAACTCCTTTGAGAAGAGGCCATACTGCACAGCAAATGGTCAAAGAAAAGCTCCAAGAAGCCACAAAATCACAAACAAATACTAAACAACGTCAGATCTGACCGGAACAGTAACACAGCGGCCGAAACAGTAACACAGTGACCGGAACAAATACCAAACAACGTCAGATCTGGTCGGAGGCAAGAAATTGGTGAAAGAACAAACTCCAAGAAGCCAAGAAATTCTAAAAAAAAAATACCAAACGATGTCCGATCAAAGTAGAGAGCACAGATCCAGAACCGGCTTGGAGAGACGATCAGAACCGTGGTGGTCCGCGGCCGAGAACCACCGTCACGCGCTGTCACGCGCCGGTGAAGCTGGCGGCGCGTGGGATTCACGCGCAGAGACAAGGGCGGCGCGTGGAGGCGCGTCTGACCTCCGATGGTGCTGGGTTTTTCAGGCGAAGGTCGTCCGGCGAGCGCGATGGTTTCTGTGGCTGTTCGGAGTGAAGAATCCACCGGAAAAAGGTTCCAATCGCGATGAACAGGTTCTGTACGGTGGTTCTGTACGTTGATTCTGTGAACGTTTGTTTCTGGTTGTGTAATAGACAAGAAAAAGAAAGAGGAACAGTGAAGCAATGGTCTTCTCGGTCCAAGAGGTCCCCGGAAAAAATTTTCCGGTGGCGGCTGATGGCAGCGAGAGACGTAAAAAAGAATAGAAAGGTTTCGTAGGCGCGGAAGCAGAGCCCTCTGGATCGAGAGCTCTGATACCAACTTGAAAGAAAAGGGTATTTGAAATATTATTGAATTGTGAATTAATATGATACAAAGAGGTCTCTATTTATAGAGACCAAAAACCCTAATTCTTGACCTAATGGGCTTGGCCCAATACAACAAATACTAATAATAATAAAAGACCTAATATTTACAACAGTTCAACAAAGTATGAAATTCTTACTAGACAAACATTGGATATGTGTTAAGTTTCAATTAAAAAAGATGATTATCAGCCTTACAAGCTTTCCACTTTTACACAAATTCATCCTATCTTTCAGGTCACAGCTCAAGCAGGCTTTGCATAATAACATCCCCAACCAGCAATTCACAAATTACTGAATGGTTACACACAGATATTGATCAAATGGGTCAATTTACCTACAATGATAATAGTCATACAGAATTTCTTTCTTTGTAAAGCAGATTTCCTCCTTGATTTTTATCCTAATTTCAATATAACTCCCATCATCTATCACTTATATTTGATAAATATCTAGAGACATCATGCTTCAACAGGAAATTAAAAGAAAGAAATATGATGATCCCATATCAAGGATGATGGTGGTCCATGCAAATCTAAGATTCCTGCCATGTCAAAATTTATATGCACCATCCAGGGTAGCTATCAATATCTATTTCAACCAACTCAAGATTTCGAATCTCTCCGCTTTATCACTGAGCCTGACTCATTGGTTAGTTTCAGTGTAATCATAGCCAAGTCTTGGGAAAGACCACTAAAGATTCTATAGTAGACCACACTGGCTAATTTCAGAATAATAACTTCGAATCAAATTACAAAATTTCTGTTTGTACTAGCCATCCCTATTGTTGCTCCTTTTTACCATTACAAGGCTTGCATTCTCTTTCAATTTACTTTATCTTTCCTCTCCCGGAAGAAGCAGAGACATTTAACAAAATCAATTTCAACAAGTGCATCTCATTCAGAAACATCTTAATCAAAGAAAATCTAACATACCCTAGGTTTCTTGACTTTAATAAGAAAAACATCAAATGCACATCTTTTCCATAAAACCATGCAATTTAAAAAGTCCAAGTCTCACCATAAATTCATAGCCAACTTGGAATAAACCCAAGTTTTACATCCAAAACGTCCTACGGTTCACATATAATTCAAAGATTAAAAGAAACTCTCAGGTACAAGTTCAGGCTGTTTAACATAATATGCAGACATCAACATAAACTTACCTACAATAGGTAAATTCTTTCTCAATTCTCTGAGCCCTTTAAGAGCACTTCCTCAAAGTGTCTTATGCATCAAACCCTAAGGCTCAATGAGCTGAAGGAGGGAGAGTGCTGGAAGAACGATGTGCCTGGACAGCACATGTACAATGCACAGACGTCAGATTCAGACAACCACTCATAATGAGTGAATGCCTTCCAGAGCAGGTGTGAAGTCCAGGGGATGAGTCACACACAGCCTGAACAGCAGAGGGGGTGAGTGCTGTACATTGGCTAATGTTCAAAGTCTTTAGCCCATCCTCATCGTTGTTTCCACCTTTCATAGATACCCACATCCTATTTTTCAATTTGCTTTTCGCCAAAGAATACATTGCTCTGTCTGTGATGTTTTGGCAGTAGTACAACCCAAGGGACCTCAGATGAGGACATCTGTTTGCCAAGGGAATCACACTATCATCTGCAATAACATCACAGTCAAAGGTTATACTGTTGTCAATCTAGATATAAAAAACATTCAAACTAAATGGAGTAACTATTTGGCATTTGCTGAAACTGTATGAAGCAACTAGTTACTGTAGTAATTATTTGTCGAATAACAAGATAAAGGAGATTACAGATTTTGAAACTACTACATAAACACTACCCAGGTTATATCCGCATGTGTCTTGTAAGCACCTATCTAAACCCCAGAATAAGCTCAAGTAAATAAGGGAAAATATGGAAATGAAAGTTGTTGTGTAATGAACAAAAATATGAATACTGAAAATAATTGGGAATTACAGTAGATTTAAACTACTGAAATTTTGAACGAAATACCTGTTATAAGGACACAACCACATAAGTCAAGTGTTCTAAGATCAGGGCACCCATATGCTAAATTCATCACTCCAACATCACTGACATTTTCACACCATCCAAGGTTCAAAGACTGCAACTGATTGCAGTACTGTCCAATTGCCTGCATATCACATATATATTGGATTATAATTCATAGCCATCTCAGTTCTTGTATGATTATGACAACCAACTATTATCAATCATACCTGCAATGCAGTATCAGATGCAGCTTTAACACATCCACAGAGATTCAAAACTTCCAGTTTTCTGCATAAACTGGCTAGGTAAGCCAGAGCATTGTCACTAAAGGCTGAACACCCACTAATATTCAGTTTTTTAAGATCACGACAACCAAGGGCTATGGCATACAGTGAACGATCAGTAAGCTTGAAACTTTTGCTGAGGTCCAGGGTCTGCAGGTCGTGACAGAAATTTGCAATAGTCTCAACAGCATTGTCCTCTAGTTGAGGCTGGTCTTGACGAAGAATTAGAGTTTGCAATGTTGTTAACTTAGGAGCAAGAGAAAGGACCAAGTTATTCATGTTCTTGCTACACCTGAAAAGAGAGGAATTACATAATCCAGTTATTACTGTTTTTTCTTTTACATGAATTAAACAATACCCCATGCATAAAGCATACATCAGATTTTTTATCCCCTCAAAACAATAAAAAAATAGTAGCACACATCAGTTTTTTTTTTTTCTTTTTTTAATTTGTCAAAGGACTATGCATAATTACAACCAATACATGTCATTAAACCAAAATATAATGTAGATTTCCGAGAAGAGTGCAAAAGTTAGAGGAAATGAAGGAGAAAAGTACGTGAAGTCACCAACCAAAGGAATCCCAATACCAAATTCATCCAAAACCAGTAACTTCTACCCATGATTTAAACCACACCACAGTAACTAACTCATAAGACACCAATTTACTTGACATAAAAAGTTAAAGGATAATATTTAACTCCAAAGCACACCACATTCTCATGAGAAAATCTCTGTTCATTCTTAAACTATTTAAAATATGCCAGTTCCAGTGCCAAGCATACTAAACTTGCCAATTCTCCAAAACAAAGGAAGTAATGCAGCTTGCTGAATGAGACATACAACAAATATGTGAATTTAAATGGGTCGCTACCTCCACCATAGTCTCTACTCCAATAATCCATTAACACATGTTAAAAGTGGGTTAAAAACTTATTGGCAGGGCCAAGATTGCAGCATAGGAAAATCAATTCATACAACAAACAAAATAAACCAAGAAAAATATCATGTTTAGTATTTCCCTCTCTGTTTTCCACTTTTCACTGCCTCCCAAGCATAGCCTCAAGATATAAAAAATTAGAAGGAAAAAAGAACATGTACCATGAGAGTGATAAACGGGTAAGTCCAAAGAAAATCGCATCTCTCCAACCACGACACACTTCAGAAGCTGCCATCACCGTCTGATCATCCACAAGTGACAAAATTTGCATCAAAAGCTCCACTGGAATATCCTTCCATTCTGTGATCTTCCCAGCTTTCATGTTCACTCCTTTCCCACTAGCTCCACTGCCAGCAACCATCATAAGCTTCTCAAAGCACAATTTCAAGTCTTCTGTCCTCAAGTTCTCCTTGCCAACCATTTCCAGCACCGCCCTTAACCAAAGTCAGATTTTTAAGCTCCTTGTTTTTATCACCAAACAGAGTGGGAGTGATGTCAGACAAGGGAAATAGATGAGGCACAACATATTCCAGAAACCTAGGTGTAGCAAAACGATAACAATCACAAACAAATAAATAAAAAAACCTATGTGTTCAAGGCCCCAAGTAAATTACAAGAGAAAGCAACAGAAAAATAATATAATAATACTAATGATCATAATCATAGTAATAATGGTACAATTATAATATTAAAAAAAGGGGTCTAATCTGATAGGTAGAAATTCAGCACATTACATCAATACCCATCACATATTTCTCAATTACACGATTACGACTTAGCACAAGCATCAAACTTGAAGCAAGCTGAGGTGCCGCACAGGAAATCACAGAATGAAGATGATCCAGTCCCTCCTTCCCAGAAAGTGAACCCCTTTTGATCATATTTGAAATGCAGATAAAAAAGAACTCAAGAAATTCAATTCATAAGAGGAAAGAGCAAGTACTCAGAAACAAAGTTGAGCCAAAAAATAAAAAAAGAAAAACCTTTTATAATATAAAAACATGATATCTATCACAAAGCAGCAACCCCACTAATGGGAAATGAAAGGAAAAAAGGTGAAAACTGAAAACCCCATAACCCATTGCAACCAGATATCAGCAGGGTGATCAACAGTAACCGTGGAAAACAAACAATACATGAGTGATAAGGACATGAACATTACCAGCGAGTAGCTATAGAAGAGTGAAATAAAGATTATTTTTATATGGCTCTGCTAATAACCAGAATACAGAATATAGTTCGGTTTAATATTGAGAAAGGAAGGAACATGAAGACATTGAAGAGGGAGAAAAAAAGGACAGGGCCTAAGAGAAATTGTATGATGTCACATATATAGGCTTTTGACGTAACAGGTTATGTTATGCGGATCCCAATTGTTATAATTTGACGAAATTGGATGTAATTATCTACAAAGTAGAACACTTCAAAATTTCTTGACACTCATCGAAATTCTGACATTTACTGACATTTTAATACTTGTTGTAAAAATTAAAAAAAAAAATTGATGTGTTGTGTCCGACACTTTCTGATACCCCAATACTCGTTGCAAAAATTTAAAAAAATTTCAAAATTTACATTGCATTGCATTTTGAGTTCCAACTATTAGATTCTTTAGATTAGAATTATCATTTTATTGAGTTTAATATGAACATTTGGAATATCTTATATTTTTTTGCAAAATTGATAGATATTATAAATTTAGCTTTATTTTTTGTTAAATTATTGAATATTAAATATAGCGTGTACTACATAAATTAAAAATATTATATAATATCAAAATGTGTCTTAACGTGTCAAAATTTAACATTTTTTGAAATTAACGTGTCGAAGTATCGTGTCGTGTTATATCTCGTGTCATGTGTCGATGTCGGTGTAATACAGGTCACTGTCAAAGTGAAAAAAATAAAAAAAAAAACAAATCTTTTTCGCATAAAAATGGAAATAGGCGATTATATGGAATTGATGTAAAAGCAAAATATTTTATTAAAATAATACAAGATATGGATGGAATGTGTGTCCTGAATTATATATAAATTAATTAGCTTTACCCACGTGGCATAGGATGCATATGGATGCGCATTCAAGATATTTGCATATCATGGTTGTATTATTTTTAATAAAATATTTATTTTTACATAATTTGGTAGTTTATTTAATAAATTGTATTATAATTATAAAAAGACATGAAAAAATAAGAGAAAAAAAAATTTAAAAAAAAAAATTAATGCCAGAAAATAAAAGAAATTAAATGTAAGAGGTAAAGGACAAAAGGGATAAGAAAGAGAACTTTGGTGTGTAGATGATTCCTTTTTGTCTAAAATCGAAACCGCAGCTAAAAGCACAATATTTGTGGGTCTGTCGTGAAGGAGACAATTTGACGAAAACGGGACGGGGGTGGTACCAGGTGGATGGAGGAGTCTTTGCTGTAACGCAATTCCTTGTTTTTCCGCTTTCAATGGTTTTGTTACTCTTTAAGACACTGATTTGATCCCACATTTCATAATCACAATTATTGTGGAATTCTACTGTTCTTCATCACTCCTTTTTTACAAGTCCTCCCTTTGATGCTTGCACTCCACCGTTGCCAAAAAATGATATAAATATGCAAAATAGTAGTGGATGTTGTGAAATTAATAAGAACTATAGGAGAGAAGAGATAAGAGAGATAGAGGAAAGTATTCTTATTTTCTTGTAATACTACAATGATGTCTTATTTATAGGCTCGGGAAATATAAAGATTACAATAACTGAAAATATTCTCCAACGGTCATAATATCTTCAACAGCCATAATGTCTCCAACAGCCATAACGTCTCCAACAGTCATAACGGATATGGACAGCCATAAATTATTTATAACACTCCCCCTTAGATGTCCAATAATCCAATTGACAAGAAATATGTATGAGAAGTTGTCTCATTAAAAACCTTACCAAGAAAACCCAATGGGACAAAACCATGGTGAAGGAAAAAAGTGTGCAGCACGTATTTCACTCCCCCTGATAATAACATTATTTAATATCTCCGAGTTTACACATCTCGATCTTGTAAACGAGCTTCTCAGACCTTGAAGTAGGTAATGCCTTGGTAAATAAATCTGTCAAATTATCACTTGAACGAATTTGTTGAACTCCATGAAATAATTATGCTTCCACTTGTGATCGAAATCTTGCTTGGTATCTGCCTTTGTGTGGCTCAGGTAAATGACTTGTATTTATAATTATTCTAGTATCTTCGTGTTGGATAAGAGTATGATCCTGCTACCCAATGGGTGCAGCTCAGTTGGTAACTTGGCGCTGAGTTAGTGGGGTTGGACATGTGTTCGATTCCTGCTGAATGCATTCTTGGGGAGGGGGCTGAACCTTTAGCCATCACTGCTCCCCCGCACTCCGGATTAGTCTCATAGCCGGCTCAAAGAGTCGAAGCTCGTGGGGATACCGGAGGGAGCCAACTCGCCTCAAAGAGGTAATTAGGGTTGGGTAACTCAAAAAGAAAAGAAAAGAGTATGATCCTGCTAATAGACTTACAAACAATAAAGTAAAAATGTGAGGGTAAAAATGGGATAATTCTCCTTTGGATGTTCACCCTTAATCATACGGTAATAGATTGCCTCATTAAAAACCTTCACAAGAAAAACCCAGTGGGATAAAAACTTGATGAAGGGAAAAAGAGTGCAATTATTATAACTCTCCCTTTGAATATCATCATAATATCTCCCCCTTAACTGAGCCACATAATTAATCTCTTTTATCACGCTATATACTATGCCCAATTGGCATTTCAAGATTAGGAATTTTATTTTTCACGGGGTTGAAATAGATATTTTATTTATGTCTAGCGATCTCATAACCATTGGGGTACTCAATGGATTTCCTTTATCCATATACAATCTCTTTAAATTATAATTCAACTGATAAATATTTCATCAAGGCGATTATACCACTTACGCCTTTATTTCTTTAATCCATTTATTGATATTTGAAGCTTTATTCAACAAATTTCCCGAGAATTCTTATATGCTTCAAGAGTTTTAAATCCTTCTAGGATTTTATATAAATTTCATTATCGATCGAATAAGCCATATAAATAGGCTATAATAACATCCATTAGACGCATGTCAATTTTTCATATACTGCCAGATTATTAAAATATCTGAAGGTGATCTCATCCACCACAAGAGAATATATTTTCATATAATAGATGCCAGGATTTTGCAAAATTCTTGTGCTACAATGACTTCATTATAATTTCTGCACATTTGTACCCCACTGGCATTTACACCTTCATGTTTGGACTACAGGTTCAGAAAACTTTAAATTTGAATTGTGTCTTTATATTTTGGCCAATCATCATCAACAAATTTATCTTTAAGATCCTCGTCTTATTTCATCATTTCATTTTATGCAAAAATATTGTCGACAACTATATCTTTACGGTTCCAAAAATGACATAACTAAGAGATCTCTTCATTTTCATTATTTTCAGGTACCTGAACCTCCCTTGAGGTTTGATCAAAGTTATGTCTTTATGTCTCCATATTATGACCATCTTAATCATTTGCTCCTTTCCTCCCTTTTAAGAATTTTTATCCTTGGAACCGATCAATTTTCTATGTACAATATAAATTGGAGCATGTACAGTTGGAATATTAGACTTATTGGTCAGTTAAATCATCTAGCAGTCGATGTATAATATCTTTTTGCTCATATTTGCTTTGTGCGAGGATCTATGAGACAATGATAATGCGTTATGTATTTTCCAACTGTTTATTCTCTCCCCATCATGTTGGAAAGACTGATAACAATAATCCACTAAATCTTCAGTCATTATTTCAAAATGTTATATAAGAAAATTCATATCCAACATATATTCTCAACTATATTTGGGATTCATCTTTGTGCGTTGTGGTGGAGTAATTAGAATATAAGTCGCACATCTAAAAATTATTTGGCTCCTGACCATAAGCCAATGTAATGGGGAGATTATAACTTATTGGCATGATGCGTACAAGTACTGCAGTATAAAATATAATATATCCCCATGCAAAAATAGGGAGCTTTGTTCTCATAAACAATGTTCTAGTAATCAATTGGAGACATTTAATATAAATTCACCAGCATTATGAAGACGAATTGTCTGAGGCCATTTTGTAGATGCATCTAATATATTTATAATATTTGAAAGGTCCACATGATGGGTGAATGGGCCCAAATATTTCACCCTTTAGCCGATGATAATTTCTATTGAGAACTAGCAGTATAAGAAGAATCTTCTGGTTCTTCAATGTATGATCATAATAATTTTCAATAATTTTTCGCATCATAATTGATCCGGGATGGTCCATCCGGTCATGCCAAATAATATAATTATTATAATCAATATCCTTTTGATTTACCAAGACATGTTTTTCAATCATGCTAATATTAGTGTAATATATATCAGAAGCAAAACAGGT